TTTTTTTGAGATGGAGTCTTGCTCTGTTGCCTAGGCTGGAGTTCAGTGGTGTGATCTTGGCTCACTGCAACCTCTGCCTCCCAGTTTAAGCAATTCTCCTACCTCAGCCTCCCAAGTAGGTGGGATTACAGATGCCCACCACCACGCCTGGCTAATTGTTTTGTATTTTAGTTGAGACAGGGATTCACCATGTTGACTAGGCTGGTCTCGAACTCCCGACCTCAAGTGATCCACCCCCCTCGACCTCCCACAGTGCTGGGATTACAGGCATGAGCCATCGCGCCAGATGAGAATATTCTAAAATTTATTCATTTCATGAACATTCTTATACATATGTTTTCTGGTGAATATATGAATACATTTATGTTGAGTATATATCTAGGACCAAATCTATGTTAGTTCAGGCCTTTCTTCTGAACTTTAGACCTACATATCCAAATCTACTTGACATCTCTATTTATAGACATTTCAAATTTAACATATTCCAAGCCATTTGCTCCTCCTCCTGTGTTCTGTGAATCAGTAAATGGCTTCTTAATCCATCTAGTTACTTAAGGAGTCATCCTTAATATTCCTCTTTCTTGACCCTTCCCAGCAAACCAATCTGTTATTAAATCCCTTGGATACCATCTCTAATATATACATATCTTGAAATTATCTACCTCTTTCTGTCTCTAACTCCCATTATACTAGTTCAAGCCATCATTTCTGGCTTTGCCTGATGCAACTGCCTCCAAATGGCCTTCCAGCAGCCTTTCTTGCCCTCTTCTGAACTATTCTCCACAAACAGCCTGAGTGATTCTTAAATATGCAAATAGGATCCTACTTAATAGTCTTTATTAGTTGCCCATTGACCTTGGGCTGAGATGAGACAAGGGCCAGACCATGCTGGCTCTTATTGGCCACATTACAGATTTCAGGCTGTATTTTGGAAGTTTCTCCTTGCTCCCTACACTCCATCCACACTGACTTCCTTTTACTTCCTAGAGCACATGAAGTTCTTTCATGCCCCAACAACCTCACACATAATAGTTCCTTGACGGGGAACATTCTCTAAGGTTCTTTAATATGCCTGCAGCTTAAAAGGCACTTATTCAGAAGTCTCTTTCCTGACAGTCCAAAATTAATTCATCATTGCACCCACTAATTTTCCCTCCCAGTACTGATCACAATTTATAATTCTGTAACTATTTATGCTTTCATATCTTTTGCTCCAATTACGTCTTAAATTCCATTAAGTGTTATGTCCACTCCTGTAACCCCGCGTTTAACACGGTGCTTGGCACATGGTAAACAGCCAGTAAATGCCTGTTTAATAACGCATGACCGATGCGAAGGCTGGAAGGGGTCGCGGGGTCGGCATCTGGCACTTCTCTGCCATAGTTTGTTTCCTTCTTGTGTGTGGGTATAGACGGGGCCAGGTCCTCTCCTTGCTCACCCAGAGGGGGCTTTTCTCCCTGTCCCCTTTCTAAGTGTCTGCTGTAGGGGCCGCATGTGAAAGACAAAATGCCTGCAGATACAGGGCGGCGAGCGGAGGGGATTGGCCCTATTTCTAAAGTCAACGTAGTTCTGTCATCAGAGGACTGTACTTTCCTGGCGCAGGTGCGAGAGACGCTGCCAATCTCTCCTGGAGCGGGTGGGACTAAGGCGGGTCCTGGGATCGGGCGGGTTGTTGTGTCCTTCCTGCAGAATCCGATTGGCCTGGGTGTGCCGAGGGAACGGGGGCGTGGTTTGATTCCGCGGGCGCGAGCCACGTTGGGCGCGGCGCAGCCCCGCCGGAAGGCCCCTCCCAGGCCCCACAATGCACTGCGGGGTGCGTCACTCGGAGCGGCGGGTCCAGTCTCTACAGGTATTACCCGGTCCCTCCCAGTCCTCTTCTTCCCTTCTTAGGGGTCGTTCGAACCCCTGCCGGCCTCTCCCCTCCCTCTCCCTGCCTCCCGCGACAGCCTCGGTCGTCGCCCTTGGGACTGAAGACCTACCCGACGGGCAGGAGCCAAGTCCGTGCCTGTGGGGTGGGAGCCGGGGCCGCGGAGCTCTGGAGGGACGGGCAAGCAGGGACCCCGTCCCCTTCGACTTGAGGGTTCTCTGGGGCCACGCGGGCGGCCGTTGCGCCTCGTCTGAGCCGCCTAGGGTATTGGGCAGCCAGGGAAGGAGTGTCTAAAGGGGAGGGACAGTCGCACTTGGCTGTCAGTAGGTTGGTAGGGATTCCCTGGCGCCCAGTTGTCAGAAACACGGTGATCTACCTGTGTAGGTGGCCCGCGGGAGCTTGAGGTGGTATTTCCTATTTCTGTTAGGCAGAATAGGACTTGAACCAGTGTCTTACTTTACGTCTTGTGGGGATGGAGTGAGCACTGAACCCAGATATTTGCCCGTGTTGGCTCACGGAAACCTCTTGAGACCCTGCCTCAAGAGTCACTTTGGGAAGGATGTGGCAGAAGGGAGACCTGAGCAATTGGCTCAACAAGTGGAGGAGGCTTCCGAAAGAAAAGGACAAGCCCCAGCTGTCTTGAATCTCTCTGCCAGTGAAGACAGCTTAAGATAATTTTTCTCCTGCTGCTTAGTTGCCTGGGTCGTCCACCTGGGGCAGGGGGCTAGCTTGAGAACCAGTCCCTCCTGGGCCTATTCAGCCAAGGCAAAGCCTAGCCCAGAGCAAAAATGTCAGCCACCAGACTGGAGTTGTTGGGAACTTCAGTCAGGGGAACATCCACTTTTCAAACTCTGAATCACTTTCCATGTTATTGATATTTGCTTACATGCTAAGATCGGAAGGAATCAGGCAGTGCCTTAAACGGTACCTACAATTTCTGGTATATTAAGGTTCCTTCAGTATTTGGTTCTGACACCTGTGACCGTATCCTAAAGTAATGGGACATTCGGGTATTTCCTATGTTGAAAACCATCACATCTGTTTAGTGCCTTTTTGTGTGTGTGTGCGTGCAACTGGTTAAAATCGAAGTATATCTTATGTTGGTCTATGAAGGAGGCCCAGGTATCACAGGGGTGCCTGTGACCTTCCTTGAGTGTCTCACAGAGTTGTTAGAGTTGGGTCTGAGTTTAAATCCCTACTTTGTCACCTACTAGTTTAGGGATTAAAAAAATTCCTTAAGCTTTCTGGGCTTGAATTTCCTCAAAGGTAAAATGGAACTAATAATACCTACTTCACAGGTTTTTGGAAGGCTTAAATGAGGTAATGTGTATAAAGTGCGTGGTCCATGGAGAGTAATCAATAAATAATATAGCAAATATTTAATATAGTGCTTTTAGTATGTTACAAGGCAGTGTTTCAGGCGCTTTACAGGATCCTATGAGATAGATACTTTTGTCATCTTTAAAATAAGCCTATGAGATAGATACTGTTAGTAGCCATAATGTATAGATGTAGAAATTGAGATGTAGAAAGGCAAAGCTTGCCCAAATTTACATGTCTGCTACATGGTGGAGCCAGGATTAGAACCCAGGCAGCAAGTGAATAGCTAGTTTCTATATCCCTGGTTTCTTATCTCTTGTTGGTTTTGGTAGACTGATGAAGCATAGTAGTGTGTAGATACTAGAAACTTAGACTGAAGTACCAGTTCTGCTATATACTAGCAGTGTGACATTGAGAAAGTAAGCCTCAGTTTCCTCATCTGTAAATTGGCAGTTCTACCTACCCAACTGTGAACTATGTGGCACTATACAAGTGTTGGAATTGACACATTTGAGCATGTATTGGGGGCCCTGTCCTAGATGTGGGTAAAATCTGTTGTGAAGCCTGAGGTCTTATACATACTGTGCAGTGTAAGCACCCATAATAGGAATGTCACACACTGCTAGTGAGGTAGAGGGCATAGGCAAAATGACAGAAATTCCATCCTCTTTATCACCCAATCTATCCCCCACCCTCCCTGTGTATCACAAGTAGTATAGCTTTCTGTCCAAATTAACTACCACCCTTTCCCATTCCCACAGATCTCAGCTAGCACTTGTAATAAAATAATATGTACCATATTGGTACTGTCACTTATGCAAGATAATTTGATAAGCAAATGAATATTAAAGTTCTCCCAAAATTTTCACACACATACATATTTGAATGAAACAAGTTCTTTTAATTTAAATTAGGAGAAAAACTTAATATCTCAAAACTGATTTCACAGATATTATTACTAAAAAATAAAGGACAAGAAAAGTAAGTCAATTCAAAGACCAATATTAGGTAAATAGTACAGATGGATGAAGATAATTCTGAAAGTGGTACTTGGATGACTGAAGACTGGGAAATTATGAACTAAAACAAATATGAGTGCTTTTGCCCTCAGTATTAAAATGTTTTTATCTTAAAAGTGGCATTTGTGAAAGCATTTGGTTAGAACGTATATACAAAATCCACTTATATGTTGGGCTTTATTTATTACCTTTTGAGAGATACCTTCCTGAGACATTGAGCCCGTAGTCATTACTGAAGAAGAGGGGTGTCTTGTTATCTTGGGTCTGAGAACTTACTAACCATTACCATAGTAGTTTGGCATTGTGGGAATTTATTTTCCTCAGACTTTACATAAAAGTTTACCCATATTTACCTAGATTCTAACTTGTGCTTTTTCCTCCAACAGTTGCTGATGGGGAGAGGAAAAAATAGCCACTGTTCCGGTTCCCTATGAGTTAACTGCTGCTGTCCAAAGGCAGGTGTAATATTTTCTGTGTATTAAAGGTGAGGAGAAATGGCCCAGTGCCCTAAACATTTATCTATGACCCTGATAAGCTAAAAACTCCTAAATCTTCCCATGCAATTGTTGTAACCTCTTGCTTTCCACAGTTCCACTGATTCTTCCTTGGGATTTTCCCAACCACAACCCTCCTTAGACCTTAAAGATACTTTAACCTAGTTTAGGCCTGACATGGACAGATTTCCTTTTCTGCTAGTGCGGTCTAGATAAGATTAGTTTAAAAAACAACAAACTATATTATGAATCCAGGGTAAAAAGAAAAAAAGTAGGGGTATGTTTATTGAATTGATGGAGCGACAGCTTAGCCTAAGGTGATTGGAGTCTGTCTACAAATTAGTTAAGCCTGACGTTGATCATTGGGCATTCATCCCAGTTTGTCAGGCTTAAATTCAAGTGGTTTGGATGCTGAATCAAATTACTCTGGTAGGAAGAGGTTTAATTTTTTCCCTAAGAAAAATCTTATCTATAGATATGTAGAAACAATTCTCTGACAACCTTGTAATAATTTTGACAGGGAATGTAACTGCTGTGTTCTGCTTTTGGTTAAAGGCTAAAGTATGTATTAGGAAAATTTGAGGCTGGGTGCAGTGGCTGACACCTGTAATCCCAGCACTTTGGAAGGCCGAGGCGGGCAGATCACTTGAGGTCAGAAGTTTGAGACCAGCCTGGCCAACACAGTTAAATCCCATCTCTACTAAAAATACAAAAATTAGCCAGGCTTGGTGGGGGGCACCTGTAGTCCCAGCTACTTGGGAGGATGAGGCAGGGGAATTTCTTGAACCCAGGAGGCAGAGGTTGCAGTGAGCCATTGTACTCCAGCCTGGGTGACAAGAGTGAGACCCTGTCTCAAAAAAAAAAAAAAAAAAATTGAAATGTAAGTTTGTCCAACTTTAGTTTTCCAGTTAGTGAAGTGGTGGGCAACACACCTATATTGTTTGCTCTTTTCATCTGAATTACTCTAATTTGGGGGTGTTTCTTGATGGTAGGACTCTTCGTTCCTACTATCTGGCAAAATTCATGGCACACAGTAGATACTCAGTGAATATTTGTTAAATGAATGGAACTCAAAAATTGTATTCTTTTTACAGTACGTGTTTTAGAAAGTATGGATCATATATTTATTGATCTGTCCTCCAAGTCATTAAAGGAACTTTGAAGACTACATGAAATTTGGCAACCTATTAATAAAGACTATTCCTAATATTTCTATTAGGATCCTAGAGAGGCCAGACATAAAGTAATGCAGTCTACTTTTATTTTACTTTTTGAGACAGGATCTCGCTCATCACCCAGGTTGGAGTGCAGTGGCACAATCATAGCTCACCGTTGCTTCAAACTCCTGGTCTCAGGCGACCCACCTGCTTCAGCCTCCCCAAAGCAAGGACTATAGGCGTGTGCCACCGTGCCCAGCTGATTTTTAAAATTTTTTTGTAGAGACAGAGTCTCACCATGTTGTCTAGGTTGGTCTTGAACTCCTGGCCTCAAGCAGTGTTGGGATTGTAGGTATAAGCCATGGCACCCAAACCAATCTACTTTTAAATACTAAAATATGGGTATTTAGAACTGTAAGTTACAACTTGCCCTCAAATTAATTCCCAGAATGGTTATTGTGTTGCAGTGTACTTCTGGAAAGACAACAGTTTTATAGTTAAATAATAAATGCTTAAGGGTATAAAGTAAGACATTTTCTTACTTTCTTACACTTAGGCTAAATGTTACAGTTTTGATTTAATAATTAAATAAAACATGGTAAAAAAAAAAATTTAAAGAGGAGTTTATAGTATAGGTATCTTTTCAGGGATCCCAACTTTTTCATGCTACTGCTTTTAGAAGAGAAAAAAACTGAATGAATGGGAAAAAACACCGATTGGGATATGTCACACTGGGACTTTAGTTTGGAGATTCCACTGTAATAAAAAGACTAATTTGCTTCTGGATATTTTTCTCTTTAAATGAATGGAGGGGCTGGGTGTGGTGGCTCACGCCTGTAATCCCAGTACTGTGGGAGACTGAGGTGGACAGATCACTTCAGGCCAGGAGTTTGAGACCAGCCTGGCCAACATGGCAAAACTCTGTCTCTACTAAAAATACAAAAATTAGCTGGGCGTTGTGGCGTGTGCCTGTAATCCTAGGGAGGTTGAGGCATGAGAATTGCTCAAATCTGGGAGGTGGAGGTTGCAGTGAGCTGAGATCGCACCACTGTACCCGCCTGGGTGACATAGAGAGACCCTGTCTCTAAATAAAGGAGAAAAATATTAAAGGGTAATGACACAGTAACACCTAGAGATTTCTCCTTCTTCCTCATGAAAAGAGGAAAAAGGGATAGTGAACTTAATGCATTAGCTTTATTAGTTGGGTTAATTTTTATTGTCAGATCAGTGATCACCATGAATGGGAAGTCGGATTTTGACTTCACACAGCAGTGAAAATTATCAACTCCTGATTTACAAGCTTTGTAACAGTTGGTTTTCTATGGTTTTTTTTTTTTTTTAAATATGTATTACTAACTCATTTTTTCCTTTTTGGAATGAGATAATATTGACCTAGATGAAGTGGTCAGGTAAGGATTAATTTAGTGCCTAAGATACAATATTTTTAGAAAAATGCCTATGAGATTTTAATCAAATTTTTGAATTTTCACCGGTTGCCTCACCACTAGTGAGGAAGCCGTTAGTGACATTGTGCCTGACAGAGAAGAGTTATCACTTAATCTTAGATAGTGAACGTGTTTTAATTTAATGTTTTAAAAAGTATGAGCCTTAGACAATGAGCAGATTGTCAAGCCCTATCTCACAGTCAGTGGTTCAGAATTTTGAGGGCAGAGCCCAGAAATCTGCATTTTTAACTATCAACTTCTTATGCAAGCTGAAGTTTGAGAGCCACTGTATATTTTATGAAAGGTTGAGTGACTGTTGACCTGAGCTCCTTCAGACTCAGGCCTGTGAAGTCCTTTCATCTGTTTTTGTAAAGCAAGAAGAGAATCCAATAAAATAGGCCATTAAGATTTACTTCCTGGTAAAACAATTGAGAACAACATTAAAACCAATATCCTTTAGCTTTAGGATTTACTTTAAATAATTTTTTGTCGATTATAAAAGTAGTATATGTCTACTGTGAATATTGAGAACATTTAGGAAATTACAAAATAATAATTACCCATAATACCATTTCGTAGAGGTGGGCATATTCTTAATTTGGCATCTTTTTCTGCATCCATTTTTCAATCCCTTTTTCCTTCTCTTTATCTTTGCCTCTTTATCCTTATGTTTATGTAAAACAACATTTGCAATTGTTATCCTGCTTTTTTCTCTTTAACATATAAGCATTTTACCACATTATTAAACTTTTTCCACAAACATAACTTTTAGTTGCTGCGTTATATTCTGTTATATGAATATACTATAATTTACTTAACCATCACCATGTTATAGGATATTTAGATTGCTTTCAGTTATTTGAGTGGAAGAATGTCTGTTTAAAATTTTGTCTGGATTTCTGATTATTTTTCTCAAGACAGGTATATATTTAAATTTATTGAGGTCAAAAGATATGCCTTTAAACTCCTGTTGAAATTGCCAAATCATTTTGAGAACTGTTTGTACCAGTTTTTACTTCCATCTGTACTTACAAGAATGCCAGACAGAAGTATTATTTTTTAAAAAGCTAATGTGGCTGGGTGCGGTGGCTCACGCCTGTAATCCCGGCACTGTGGCGGGCGCCGGTGGTCCCAGACACATCCTATCCTGTGGCATGGGATCCCCGGCTGAGGCAGGAGAATTGCTTGAACCCTGGATGGGGGATGTTGTAGTTAGCCAAGATGGCGCCATTGCACTCCAGCCTGGGTGACAGAGCGACATGCTGTCTCAAAAAAAAAAAGCTAATATGTTAAGTGAAGCATAATATGTTATTTTAATTTGTTTTGTTTTGTTTTTTTCCTGAGACAGAGTCTCACTCTGTTGCCCAGGCTGAAGCTCAGTGACACGACCTCAGCTCACTGCAGCTTCTGCCTCCGAGGTTCAAGCAATTCTCCTGCCTCAGCCTCCTGAGTAGCTGGGATTACAGGTGTGCACCACCATGCCCGGCTAATTTTTGTAGTTTTAGTAGAGAAGGAGTTTCATCTTGTTGGCCAGGTTGGTCTCAAACTCCTGATCTTGTGCTCTGCCCGCCTTAGCCACCCAAAGTGCTGGGATTACAGGTGTGAGCCACTGTGCCTGGCTATTTTAATTAGTATTCTTATATTACTTGTAAGTTGAACATTTTTACATATGCTAATCAAGTTTGGCTTTAATTTTTATCTAACCCAAATTGTTCATTTTGTTTTAGGTCTTCTCTGTTGGTTGAAATGTCTATGATTTTATCTGCTTCAGTCATTCGTGTCAGAGATGGACTGCCACTTTCTGCTTCTACTGATTATGAACAAAGCACAGGAATGCAGGAGTGCAGAAAGTATTTTAAAATGCTCTCGAGGAAACTTGCTCAACTTCCTGATAGATGTACACTGAAAACTGGACATTATAACATTAAGTAAGACTTCAGTTTGTTTCATTTGACTCGCTTGCCCAGTAGTTGTCATTTTAATGAAGTTTAAGTGGTTGCAATAGAAAGGAGTGATTAGGAAAGCCTGTTCAAGTCAAGAATCATATTCTGAACTTATACTAAATAGTCATCATGTCAGCCGCAGCCTTTTTGTAGTTTCTTTGTGTTTATATCTGGCTCTAGGAAATTTTATAGTTGCACAGATCATAGATAGTCCTCTTATAAGTTCATCACTAAGTATTTATTTGCATTCTTACTTACCTAGGGGTGTAGTAGGCAAATTATAATTGGAAATAAAATTTTTTACCTAATATCTGCCCTCAAAGAACTGAAGCAGCTTACATCTAGTGGGAGGGGGTAGCACTTATCACTGTATCATATATAAATCAAGTAAAACTGGGCAAATGGGTTAGAGAGTGACTATTTATGGTGGTCAAGGGACTCTCTGAGAGGGTGACATTTGAGCAGAGACCTAAAAGATGAGAGAGGAGGTAGTTATATGAAGGATGCTGTGTATGAAGAGCAAGGCAAAGGTAGCAGCCAGTGGAGAAGCCCGTTTTTACATACCAAGAGACAGAAAGAAAACCAGTGATCCTGAAGCATTATGGACGATTAATAGAGTTGCAGAAAGTGAGGCCAGAAAGGTAGGAATGGGGCAGGTTATGTAGTAAGTTTGGAGTCTATTAGTCTGTTTAGTTTAATGCAGTAGGAAGATACCGGGTAGTTTTAAGCTGGAGAGTTACATGATTTCATTTGGCTTAGAGTAGGTCATTCTGGCTGCACTGTAAAGAATAAAGGAGAAAGTGGAAGCAGAGAGGTCAGATGGAAGACTCTTAGAGAAGTTCAGGTGGAGGTGCTGATTGTAACGAGCTAGGGTTGTAATGAATAGAAATAGATTGGGGCTATATTTTGGGATTAATACCAGCAAATCTTCCTACTGGATTGAAATGGGATGTGAGGGAAAAAGAAGAATAATCACCTGTAGTTTTTTGACCTGAGGAACTGGATGAATAATGAAGCTCAAATGAGCAAGAAAGGAGAGGATAAGTGTGTCTGATTGGTAAAAAGTAAGAGTTCTGTTTGGACATGTTAAATCTGAGATGCCCATTAGACATCCAGGGGGCACTGCTAGGTAAGCAGCTGGAGATATGAGTCTGAAGCTTAGTGAAGAGGACAAGTATAGACATTTAGATTTGGAAGTCAGCCTACAGTTTGTGATTAAAACCATGGGAATGGATGAGACCACCTTGGAAAACTTAGACGTGAAACAATTACGGAACGATTAACGTCTGAGCAGCTTGATATTGATTACACATACAGAAGGAAATAAGGTAAAAACACAGTCCATATAGGATATAGTAAACAGAGGACTTCATTGTTGAGATGAGACATGAGCCATGTCCTGAAGAATTAATAAGAGTTGGCTAAGGTAGGGAGGAGGACATTCCAGGTGTACGGAGGAGAGGCAGAATAAGCAAAGAACATGACTTAGCATGGTAGGTGTATTAACATGCTTATCCTGGGTCAGTGGATGGTGATTTAGGGATAGTTGTGAGACACGTGTGATAATCACTATGGGGCCAGATCTTGGATTGCCCTGAAAGTTCAGATTGAAGGGTGTCACTTTGAGGTAATATGTTATAGGAAGCTCTGCTGCAAATTCAAGGGAAGTGACTTGATAAAAAACAGTCCTGAGACAGTGGAACTTAGGGTGAGATGGACAGTCCAAGAGGAGAGAGATAAGGCGGAGAGGCCAACTTATTATTAGGGCCTGAAATAAGAAAATAAATGTGCAAATGAAAATTAGAATGCCAAAAGAACTAGAATGATAATGAAGAGAAATAGTTTGATTGGGGATCACTTTGAAGTTAGATCACTTCAAAAGAAGTGACCAAGCTGGATAGGATGGAATACCAGAGATGAAAAGAAGGAAGAGGCAAAGATGACTGAAGCCTTGGAATTGGACAGAATGATGGTGTCATTGCCAGAAATGAGATCTTTGGAACAGACTGTTTATGAGGTGTGAGGCAGAAGAGAAAGATAATGAAGCTCCATTTTGATCATTTTTTTAAGACACTGGGGCTTGCTCTGTTACCTAGGCTGGAGTGCGGTGGCATGATGACAGCTCACTGAGCCTCAACCTCTTGGGCTCCAGCGATCCTCCCACTTCAGCCTCTCAAGTAGCTAGGACGACAGGGGCACACCACCACACCCAGCTAATTTTATTTTTAGTGGATGAGGTCTCACCGTGTTGCCCAGGTTGACCTCAAACTCCTGGGCTCAAGTGATCCTCCTGCTTGGCTTCCCAAAGTACTGGGATTACAGACATGAGCCACTGCACCTGGCCCACTTTAATTATTTAAGTTGAGGTTTTAGGCCAGGCACAGTGGCTCACACCTGTAATCTCAGCACTTTGAGAGGCTGAGGCAGGCAGATCACTTGAGCCCAGGAGTTTGAGATCAGCATGGGCAACGTGGGGAGACCCCGTCTCTACAAAAAATTAAAAAATTAGCCAAGCATAACATAGTCCCAGCTACTCTGGGGACATAGGTGGTAGGATCGCTTGAGCCTAGGAGATTGAGGCTGCAGTGAGCTGTGATCTCACCCCTATATTCCAGGGTGACAGAGCAAGACCCTGTCTCAAAAAATGTATATATAAATAAAATAAATAAATTGAGGTTTTGACAAGGTGGTTCAGTGGAGATGGGATAGAGATTTTGGAAACATTCACGTAGATGTGGTTGATATTGTGAGGGGAAAAATGCCTACTGGGTTTAGAGAGAGGCCCAGGATAGAACCTTAGAGAATGTCCACAATTTCTTGGATCACCTGGGTAATGGTAAGATAATGGTAAGATGTTATATTTAATTGGGGTTTCTGAGGGCTTAATTAGAAAATATTGTGATTATGGTGATTAAAATATATGTAAAATGATGTCTCAACCTACTTCTATTTTTTTAGAGGAAAAACTTGAAATATTTCAGTATTTTATTTAATAGGTTCTGTTAGTGCCCTGGGTCATTATTCTGAGTTTTATTTGTGAATGTATAGTGGTATAAACAAATATCAAAGTTATAGGAGATTGGCTTGAATGTATATTAATTCTGGTAGGTGTGCTGGACTTAAACACTTTTGCAATTTTTTTCTTTTGACTCTCTTTTTTAAAATTAAAAAAATTTATTTTGACTGTTCTTAAAAGTAAAATGTAACATTTTAACATCCCTTCATTCTATTTAACTGAAAATTCTAGATTTTGTATTATGTAGTTTTATTTAGTTGTACTCCAGCTTATTCCACACAAAGGATTTGAGGCAATTTAGGAAAAAAAAAAAAAAAATGAAGGGGCCAAGTAAGGGAGTCAGAAGAAGGAAAATAGATACAGGAGAATAATAAACTGCGGTAACATTTCCTTCTGGAGATGCAAACTAGATAGTCTATCCATTTGTTAGAGAAAGGTTGCACATATTACCGTTGAGTTTCCTTGTGACCAAAGCAAAGGGGGAGAATCCATAGGTTTTAGTGTCCATTGGATAAAAACATTGTTTTTCCTGTTACTGAGACCTGAAGTACATAAAGAGGACAGCATTTGGATAACATTCTTCCAGCAACCATAATTATGAGAGTTCAGGAGTGGGATAAATCAGCAGAAGTCTAATCTGGTCTAGTTCAAGAATACAATTCAGGTAAGTCAAAAGGAAAAGATTACCTGGCTTTCAGAGCCATGCATAGAAAAATGTCTATGCGTGTTTTTTTGTACCAAACCTTCAATAAGGATTGGAAAACAGAAGTTCTAGTTCAAGTTCCTGACAAGGACCTGGATTTCATATATTTTCTATCGCTAATAAGAGATCTTGTGGTTTACTTTATGTTTATTGAGGTTTTTACCTTATATGACATTGAGCTTAGACTGAAATGCATAAAATTGAGAATTTGTGTGTTACCTGACTTAAAATTCTCACATCACAACTCTTTTTCTAACCACTATGAGTTTGCGAGATAAAACTCACAGGTCTGCCATAGCAACATCGTAGCACAGCCTGAAATTGCCACCATGCTGTCCCTCTTTTCTCCTAGCCATATTAAATGCTTCTTTCCTTCAAACCCTACTTGTTTTGAATCACCTTCTTTCTCATTACTATTTCATGTCTCTAATGATCTCACTGCTTTCACAGATCTCCTGTAGAACTTGGTTGACTGCCTTTTTCATCACTTACTAAAGTTTCTTATTTTTAATTTTATTTCTCTATCCTCTCTATAACAGGGTTGTAATTCATTGAGGGAATTGATCTGCCATGGCTTATACTATTTTTGATTCCTCAACTCTTGGCATTGTGGTTTTCAGATTTGTATAGAAATTGAGGTACTCTTTCTTCACAGAATCTCAGAATCACTAAGTGTATAATTATGTGCCAAATGAGTTGATACCTCACATTAAATTCTGGTTGAATAGGCAAGGGAAGACCAGAGTTTGAAAGAAAAAAAAAATAGAGGAGTAACATTTAAAATTGAGATAATTAGGCCAGGTCTGGTGGCTCACACCTGTAATCCCAGCACTTTGGGAGGCCAAGGCTGGCAGATCACCTAAGGTCAGGAGTTTGAGACCGTCCTGGACAACATGGTGAAACCCTGTCTCTACTAAAAATACAAAAAAAAAAAAAGGTCGGGTGTGGTGACGGACATCTGTGATCCAAGCTACTCAAGAGGCTGAGACAAGAGAATCACTTGAACCCAGGAGGCAGAGGCTGTGATCCGAGCTACTCAGGAGGCTGAGGCAAGAGAATCACTTGAACCCAGCTGAGATCGTGCCACTGCACTCCAGCCTGGCAACAGAGTGAGACTCTGCCTCAAAATAAATAAATAAATAAAATTTAAAAATAAAATTGAGAAGATTCCTTTAGTTTTCTCCTCCTCTGTATTGGGAAAATGATGAATTTCAAATGAGTGTAGTGGCTGGATACTTCTGCTTCGCCAGTGAAGGACGTTCTGTG